GGGAGAGTCCCTTCCTCCCGCTCTGGGAGGCCCCAGCTGCAGAACCTAAGAAAACAGAGTTAATACAGGAAGCCTTCCTGGTAGAGGTGAGGATGAAGCAGGCTGTTGAGCAACTCACAAAGCCCTGTCCCACCCGCCTGAAAACTGGCAGCAAAAGCCCGGGGCGGGGGCTCCCCATCTCTAGGCTCCCGGTGAGTAGCAGACACTGATTCCAACTTCTCCCTCTTGGCACGTCCCCCAGGGCCAAGCCACAGACATTGCCATCCAGGCAGAGGAGATCATGAAACTCAAGAAGCAGCTGTATAGCATCTACGCCAAGCACACCAAACAGAGCCTGCAGGTGATCGGTGAGTGGCCCCGCCCCACACAGGCCCCTCCCTCACAATCAGGGGGCCGGACCTCGGGCCTCCGCACTGCTGACACTCAGGGCTGGATCTTTCCGTTGAGGGGCCATCCTGGGCACTGGGGTTTTGAACAGCATCCCTGGCCCCCACCCACTTGAAGACAGTAGCACCCCCACTTGTGACAACCCAGACTGTCTCCAGGTATCACCCAGTGTCCCCTGGTGGTCAGAATCCCCCCCACCCCCCAGTTAAGAACCCCTATTTTGAGCACTTCAGACAAAAACATCATTGAAATAGGTCCAAAGGTTTGAACAGGGTCTTCCACAAAGAATATTCCAAATGGCCAGGAAACAGAAGGAAAGAGGTTCGTCCTATTCAGTGCTGATGTTTAACAGTGACATCCCTAGTTACTCCAGAAAGGCAAATTAAGGCCAGGATGAGATAGCATTTCTTTTCTTTTAATGGAGGTACTGGGGATTGAACCTAGGACCTTGCACATGCTAAGCATGTGCTCTACCACTGAGCCATACCCCACCCCTGAGATACCATTACAACCCACTGGAATGGCTAAAATATAAAATATTGACAACATGAAGCGCTGAGGGGTGTGTGGAGCAACTGGAACGTTAAACCACAGCAGGCAGCAGTGAAACAGTGCAGCCACTTTGGAAAGCGGTTTGGCGCTCAAGGATGCAGAAAGACGCGTGGTTCCTCTGCCCAGCATATAACCGAGGGAATCATGCACTCCTGCCCACCAAAGCTGCAGACAGGAATGCTGACAGTACTCCCGATCCTAGGAGCCCCAGACAGGAAAGCACGCAAATGCCCACCAGCAGCAGGCGGGGTTTATTCACGTGATGGGATGCTACAGAGCCACGAGGGAACCACAGGGACATGCGGCCGCCTGGATGAATCTCAAGAAACAGTGCTGAGTGGGAAGAGGAGATGCTCTCTGGTTATATATTTAAAGAGCAAAACCTGGCACAACTAATCAGTGCCATTTTAGGCCGCTATTAGGGTCATGATTACTGGGGGGGTAGTGACTGGACATGGACCACAGTGGGGTCTGATCAGGGTGCCTGCCCCGTGGCTGTGATCAGTCCAAAAGTCACCATGCTGTCCGCTTTGATCCCTGCCCTTTCCTGGACATGCATCTACACATCAACCGGTTTTTTAAAAAAGTGAAATAGGTATTTTACTGTGGTGAAACTGAGGCCACAGGAAGGGGAAGGCCAAGGTCACACGGGGAGGCAGTGGCAGACGGGGACCGAACCTGGCCCCTAACCTCACACATCCTGCCTCCACTTCGCCCGCAGAGTCAGCCATGGAGAGGGACCGCTACATGAGCCCCATGGAGGCCCAGGAGTTCGGCATCTTAGACAAAGTTCTGGTCCACCCTCCCCAGGACGGGGAGGATGAGCCAGAGCTGGTGCAGAAGGAGCCAGTGGTGGCGCCGGCGACAGAACCTGCCCCAGCGAGTGCCTAAGAGCTGGTCCTCACCCTCCAGAGGGAAGCAGAGGGGCCAGGCGCCAGCCCTTCCTGCCCCTCACCACTGGGCCTGGAGGGGCCCCTTGAGGAACTCTGGATTTGAGGGGTGTCCCTCCAGGTGGGCATCCTGGCTGAGACACTGTGATTTTTAAATTAAATATTTGTAGTCTTTGCTCCCATCTGCGGCGCCTGCCCCCCCCACCGCCTCCGCTGCGCCTGTGTGTGTGCTCCACCCGGCCTCTGCTGTCACATTGACCTTCAGCGCCCTAATGTCAGCAAACTCTGCTGAGCATATGCGACATTCCAGGCACTGCTCCAGAAGCGACAACATATTATGAAGAAAACATAAAAATCCCTGTCCTGAAACTTACCTTCTTATGGGAGTATACAGTTTAAAAAAACAGTCAGGGAAAGAGGTACGCAGTGTGTACATGTGTATGACAGTTTCAGATGGGGTAGCCTGTGAAGGCCTTGCTGAAAAGGTGACATTTGAGCAAAGACCTGAAGGAGGTTGGGGAGGGTGGGGCGCAGCTTGCTATCTGGGGGCAGCGCAGTCCAGGCAGAGGACACAGTGAGTGCAAAGGCCCTGTGGCAGGATGTGGCTGGCACATGGGAGAAACCACCGGGTGGCTGGAGTGAGTAAGTCAGTGAGTGAGGGGGGTGCAGTGGAGGAGGTGAGAGCAGGAAAGGGAGGAGTACAGATCATAAAAACCCTGGTAGGTCTTAGCAAGGAGAGAGATGCACCATGGAGGATTTCGAGAAGAGGGACAAAAAGGAACCACAGAGTGGTGGCAAGCCCAGAACCCCGGAGACCTGGGAGGAGACTTAGAATAATCCAGAGGAAGGCTGATGGCCCTGACCAGGTGGTGAGGTCAGATTCTAGCCAGGCTTTAAAGGCATGGCTGACAGGTGGAATGTAAGACTTGAGTGAGAAAATAATCTCCAAAAATTCCCAAGATGTCGGCCCAAAGCCATGAGAAAGATGGAAAGAAAGATGAGATTTCCCCATAACTGAAACAAGAGAGGTAGGGGGAGGAGCAGGATGGAGGGTAGGGATGAGGAGCTGGTTTTGCACGTGTGACATTTGACACCTGCTGTGCCTCAGCCATCCCAGAGGATGGGGAAGTCGGGTCAGGGCTAGGAATAAAAACGTAGGAGACTTCAGCCTGTCGCTGAATTAGTGGCCAGGCTGAGAAGTGGCTGTGACATTTGGCACACTGGAAGTCACTAGTGGCCTTGAACAGATCACTTTTGGTGCTGTGGGTGCAAAAAGCCAGATTGGAGTGGACCCAGAGAGAAGGGGCGGGAAAACATTGAAACTAGACAAGTCTTTTCAAGGAATTTTGCTATTGAGAGCAGAGAACACGTGTGGCTGTTGCTGGAGGGAGAGTGGAGGTCAATTTTTTTGTTTTTTTAATTTCAGAGGATTTTAAAATTTGGCTTCATTCATTGGTTGCATTTGGCTGAACTTTTCAGTCTGCACAATTTTAAATATATACAAAAGCAGAGAGACTAGGAAAATGAGGTCTCAGGAACCCACCACACCAATTCAACAATTAATTAATTCTATAGCACCAATTCAACAATTATCAATTCACTGCCGATTGTGATTTGTATCCCCCTTCCCCTCTCCTGGCCCCATTACCTGCTTTTTATTTCATCTATAAATATTTCAGTATGGAGTTCTAAAAGGATAAGGAATCTAAAAATACAACCACAGTACCATTTTCAAACCCTGCTAAATGACAGCACTTACCGTGGTCAAATATTCAACCAGTGTCCAAATTTCCCCCGTTGGCTCTATTTTGTGTTTTTTTAGTTTGTTCCAATCAGGATCCAAATAAGGTGCATACTTGCCACTGGCTGACAGATCCTGAAGTGTCTGGTAACTGCTGGTTTCCCCTTAACCTCTCAATCTCTCCCTCTTTTTCTTCTCTTTCCTTGGAACTCACTTGTTGGAGAAACAGGGTCATTTGTCTTGTGGACTTTCTCATTGTCTGGATTTTGATGATTGGATCCTGGCTTTGGGATTTCCAGTAACTTGGTGTATGAATCTAGACAATCCTTTTGGCAAGTGACCTCTGAGTTGAGGTGCCTTCTGGCAGGAGACCCCTGAAATCCAGCTGTCTCTTTTCATGACGTTAGGAGCGGATCAGAGTGCTGGGCTAGGCCCACTAAGACATTCCAATAGGGGCTGCAAAATGGTGACAAGCCC